AACAAGGTCGATGTATCTCATTCTTGCCACAAGCTAATAATTTTTGTTTTACCGCTAGTTAATTAAATTTTTTACTTCAGTACCCTACAAATTGAGGTTTTCTTTTTTTCATTAAAACTCCCACATATGGCTCGAGAAGTTATGGTGGGTAGGTGTGTAAACTTCGGCGTTTGCAGCCAATCAATCTATAAATTTAGTGATCTACCCCCATAATGGTACTAGCGTTCAGCCTAACGGTGGAATTTTCTCCAATTCCCATACAAAAAAGTTTTCTAAAGTTAACACACCCACCCCTATGTCTTCTCGCGCCATAAATACATAGTACATACAGTACTGGTACTGTAACAATACGTGTGGCTGGGGATTGTTGGCAGGGTTAGGGCGAGATGACGTGGATGGTCCGAGGCATGTCGTGTTTACTACATGTAGTATGTATGTAGGTACATGTAGGCATTACGATTATAGCCTACAAAAGCTTCTCAGGAGGTGAGTACAAATCAATTACATACAAAATCAGTTGTTGACGATATTCCAATCCCAGCTCTATTATATCGATTCCTGTCGGTTGAGACGAACTTTAAATATTTGGAACATGGCCCTTCTCGATTTACCGAATGAACTCCTGTTGCCGATCGCAAAGGAGCTCCATCCAAGCGATCTCAGAGCTCTGATTCTAACCAACCGCCGTCTCGCCAATTTGTTAATGTCAGATCTTCAAAAATCAGCAGTTACGAATAAGAAGTGCGCGTTAGCGGCGTTGTTCTGGGCTGCTGCAATTGGACGCGAAGCGATGGTTCGATTGGTCCTTGAGAAGGGTCCAAAGATCGCAATTGACGATATTTGTACCTACGACGCAAACTCTCTCAGTAAGAAGCTCAACGTAATGTTTGAGGGCCCATCAAAATGCAGCGACGACGTTGCCAAGCAGGTGTTGAAAAAAGGGGTATTTCTTGTTGTTACTGAGGGGCGTAGGACATGGACATGTCTCCACTGGGCGTTTGAAAACAAGCATAAAGCACTGTTCAGGTTACTGTTGGACAAAGGTGCAAGTACAGAGGTCCTCGTCAATTTCAGCCAACAGACAATCCTCCACCTGGCGGCATTGGAGGGCGACGAAGTTTCCGCGAAGCTCCTGTTGCGTAAAAGATCTCGTGTCGATACTCATACACAGCTCCTACAATTCGGAACATTGCAAAACCAACGCGCTGATATCGGCCGCCTTGATCTCCTGGGCTACACGCCGCTTCATCTGGCAGCTAGAACTGGTAAAGTGAAGCTGGTTGAGCTTCTACTGGACAACGGCGCTAGGATAGATTCGCAAATCAACGACACAGCTCTTCACCTTGCCGCAAAGTACGAACATGAGGCTGTTGTCGCATTGTTATTGAAGAGGGGGGCTGATCCAAATCTGAAGGACGCTTGTGGAATGACACCCCTGCACCTTGTAGTGCTGTACCGGTTCAAGGCCGTATCGGAGATGCTCCTGCTGAATGGGGCGGATATTACGACTCGAGACCGTCACGGTACAACAGTACTTCATGTGGCGGCAGAGAACGGGGACGAAGCCTTGACAAAACTGCTTCTTAGAGAGGGGTCCCACGTTAACATTGATGTCAAGAATCACTCCGGAAACACACCTCTCCATTTGGCCTCAAAACACGGACATGAGCCGGTGATTGCACTTTTGTTAAAGGAGGGCGCAAATATTCAGAACAAAAATAGAGACGGGAAAACTGCAGTCTATTTGGCATCGCCTTGGTCTAACAAGTCGGTGGAGGAATTTTGAGGAAACATGGGGCGTGAATAGTTACATTTTTATATTTCCTTTGGGTGCATTGATCACGAATCGAGCTTGTGTGGGCGATGGTTTTATTGGGAAAATTTTTAATCATAGCATTCCATTTTTATTATTCGACGTTTCTTCATGAATACTTAAGGTTTAACTATAATACATTACTTTCTAGAGGCTTTACAACTCTTGGGGAGTGGTTGGGGTATAGAGATGTGCTCAATTCATAGATATTTGCGGACGAAGCCCTACATATGATAAAAGAATTAACCTTGACGACTGAACATCTTGAATTAAATTTTCAAAATATTTGTGGCATATATGTTATCACAGATTTCGATAGCGCGGCTTCCACTCAGTTCTTTGCATACTAGAATATTTCCAAGTCTTCATATAAACAACCCTAAGGCCTACCAGACACACCGAAAAATATTAAACCCCATTAAACCCCATTAATAATAACGAATTAGTACACTTTTTTAACACGCCAATCTAGCTACGCTAGAAGCTGATTCCATAAAGAAAATCTTCCATCCATAATCGAATAGGATTTCCAAATAACGTGACCCAGAAATAATATCGTTGCGCACTACTTGTTTGTAACCTCAAGGTATCCCCAATCAAATACGGCCCTTCCAGATATCCTTAAATCCTCCCCAATCGTGCCAGTATTCTTGGTGCATACTCCAATAAGGTTGTCGAGTGCATCCACCAGGTGATAGCATCTGAGCTTAGTCCTGTACTCTCCACACATAGTGACGAAAGCAGTGCCGTAGACGATCAACCCCATACATCCCTCCCGACTTTCCTGTGTACACCAGTGATTCCCCTGCGTTTGTCTCAGTTCCTCTGCACCAAAGAGAACGTGGGTCTTGAATGGAGAGCTATTGGTGGTTGTGCAGATAAAAGTATCGGGCTTTGGATTGGCATCATTCGAACGGGGGTGAAGAACATTTGCAAGCCAGGTGGAGCGGGGGAAATTGATGCTCCTGGCAGTGGTGAGGCTGGCGAAGTTTAGGAGTAGAATGGAGAATATGAGAACTGCGAGATGGGTTGGCTTCATTATGATTGTGGTTGGGTGAGATTTTGGTAGTTTGTAATTGGGTAAGATTTTGAGATTTGAGGGGTTTCCGATGAGATTTGGGATGGGTTATGAGGGGACTGTGGTCATGAGGATACGTTGGTTTTGCCAGATATGTATTCTTGTATAAGAATATATATACTTAGGACCCTTCAGATTCAGTCAACACGTGGGCTCAATAGTCTCATACCCATTATCTACGATCAATCCCCTACGGGCAGCTTGCTGACCACCGTGCATAATTGTCTGGGGCACTAACCTTCCGACAAATTTCTTAATTTATGTCGGAGTCTGAAGGAACATTCGTTTGCTGTGTTGAGATCTAAATAAACCTTAATTTTTGCATGTAAAGAATCTTTGGTGATTTGGCTATCACCGGCCTGGATCGTAGTGTTGGGGTAACATAAGTATGATTTACAGCGCTTCTCTTACCATAGCACAAATCGGGCCTATGGAGCTTCGTGGTAAATATGTAGTACATTAAGTTACATGTCTGGCCAGATTATTATATACAGGCAATGCTACATGTACTCAAACTGACCATACCATACCATAGCAATCTCCTCCCCCACATACACAACAAAACACACATCCACCTACTGCGGGTCATACGCCTCCGCCTCAATCTCCACCACCATCTTTGCCTCCGCCAGCTTCTCAACCCCCAACGATGTCCATAACGGCCCATGGTTCGGGCACCACTTCTGCAAGTTCCGGATCATCGCAACCAAGCACGTATTGTCCATGGCCACGTGGTAGCTGCGGATCTTGTAGACCTGGGACCACCCCTTCCCGCCGGCTTTCTTGAGCGCGAGATCGACGTTCTCGAACGCTTGGTCAATCTGATCGTCGATGCTGGCGGGGATGCTGCCGTTGAGGGGGTTCCAGCCGCCTGTTGTGTAGAGTCTTAGTATTCGTCTCATCATCGTTGTCACGGTAGTTCGAGGTTAGAAAGGGAGTCAGTATGGTACCTTGACCAGCGCACTCGATATTGTCGCCGACCCGGCAGGCTTGGCTGTAGTTGAGGTATTGCCTGTTGCGAATGCCGACGCCGGGGTAGTTGTAGTACTTGATAACACAGGATCCACTCATCACTGCTGGTTGGCTGAAAGATTTACTGGAGGAGTTGGCGAGTTCTTTCTCGAGATGGGTAGCAGAGGATGTAGCATTATTGGACGGAGGGTAGAGTGGGTACATTTTGATGTGCAGTGTGTGCCAAGTAAACCTTATTTCTCAGGAATGGAAACGGGGAGATGGTTTGAGTTTGGAGGAACATAGAAAGCAGATTCTAGTTATAAATATCATTAGACAGCTATATACATAAAGCATACATTCGTCCGAAAGCCTGCGTGCTTACTGAAGCCCCCGGGTCTTGTGTCTGCCTGGGTTCACACACTATCACTCGGTACCATGAGCTAACCATTTTCACGACACAGTTATCTAATTGGCCAACAACCAGTTATAAGCTCAGGATTATAATCTTCTTATATGCCCCTGTTGCTACATCTCGTTTCGCAGCTGGTAAACATTCCCCCATTCACGATCTGCATAGCGCTGCAGAGTGTCCACAAGAACAGAGAGTGTCCACAAGAGCAAATCCCATCACCACTCGATCTATGTAGCTTATCCTTCCGCCAAGTCTCCTCCACCGCCAAGAAGTACTAACGGCTAGACAGCTACCAGAACCCTGGTCACTCTACCAACGCTAGCTAGTAGCAATTTTTTTTCATAACCGCTAATTATTATCTGGAAACCACGATTCAGTGGTGTAGTGGTATCACGGGCGCTTGCCATCTCTTGCATGATTTGCGCCCGACCCGGGTTCGATTCCCGGCTGATTCAGTCTTTTAGAATTTCTTCTATGAGATCGGGCTTTCTTTTTTTGGTGGGTTTTGGGTGGTTCTGGGGAATGCTTCAAAGTCGGTTCTGTACGAGTGGTGCCGCCGGTGCTACCTGTTTGTTTAGAAAAACCTTTTGATTGTTTCGATTAGTTTGAGATGTATCTACTGGCGGTCGGGATCCCGGCGAGAGAGGTTGCTTTGGTAGACTATGAATTTTGAACGCCCAGTCTCCAAAAAGGTGACACGAGAACCAAAAAGATGGATTCAATGCTCTAACCCCCATCTCTCTTGCCCTGACCCGGATTTGAACCAGGGATCTCAGCATCTCATACAAGTGCTGCGCCTTACCAGCTTGGCCATCAGGGCAGATGTTATTGGGACAATATGTGCGATTAAGATCTCATTATTTTTTTGGGGTGACACGTGTCGTGAAGTATATACTTAAGTAAGGTTTAATACCGACTCCAGTCGCTCAGTCTTTCCGCGGCGTATGCTCATCACCGGCGGAAGAAACGGGGGACTTTTGGGACCAACCCGGAGAGGCTTGATTGGTCATCAATTAGCTCCCTATATGAGGGATTGATACTTATTAATGACTAGTGTTGAGCGCTCTTATAATAAGCCTGGAGCTGTAGTAAGTAAATAAACCTTACTCAACTAGGGGTAAATTGACCCCGCATGCCACTATCCATCTGGAAGCTTTGTTACCATGGTAATATATGCCTGTTGTGCCGGGGTTGCCTGATTGGCTAACACTATTCTAATATTATTACTCGGGCGAGTGATGTCTCATGATAGAGCCGCATGGGAATTGGAGACGCCCAATCGGGAATGCTAGTGCGGTAGTTTATATCTTCATATGCCCATCCAATGGTACTGGGAAGGGGGGGAGCTTCTGTGCTACTGCGGCTCACGGTATTTGCGCATGTATGGAGATGTGCTCGGGCGGGCGGGCTGCTAGCTGGGAGTCTTGCGGAGAGCGGGCTCTAAGCTATCAACCTTGCTAGCTGGACGTCTACTCTCCTCTAATCTGCGGACCCCTCTCCCCTTCTCTCTCTCTTCATTCTCATCTCTCATCTCTTCTACCTCGTTCATCACCAGGCTCATCATCCCGTACATCCACGGGGCCATCATATCCATCCTCACACCTGACAATATATCCATCCCCGCCCCATCCACCTCAATTCCAAACCCCCACCCACCCACCCCCACCCACCCATACCACCCACCACAATGGCACCCCCCTTCTCCCTCCACTTCATCGCCAACCCAAACGCCCCGCCCACAACCCTCGTCAACCAAGAATCCAACGGCCTGATCATCAAAAGCCAGCACGGCCAACGCCTCTGGGACCTCTCCCAGTTGCACCTCACCGCCCTGCCCCCCACCGGCGCCTCCTTCCTCCTCCGCATCGGCAACAGCGCCTCAGGCCGCGACCATGGCCGCACATACTGCACCGTGCGCGTCCCCGCGCAGGAGCGCAAGTACCTCTACAAGTTCTGGCTCGGTATCGGCGAGTGGGTTGTTGCGCCTGCCGGGTCGCCGCCACACCATGGCCGCACCGCCGCCTTCTTGCCGCAGTGCCCCGTCGACGGGTTCTATGGGCGGCGGCTGGCGCCGGTGAGCGAGGGCGTATTCTGGGGGCTGGATGGCCTCCTGGGCTGCGGCTGGCAGAGGGATCACGCGAGGGTGTGTGACAAGAGGCATTGGGATGTGTATATCAGTGTTGTTCCTGCGGAGGCGGGGGGTTCGCAGGATCCGCTGGTAGGGCTGAAGGGTGGGAAGAAGACGTTTACGTGTGTGAGGGTGTGTGAGGATGCGAAGGTCGAGGCGCTGTTTCAGAACTTGATTGGGTTTGAGAGGAGTACAAGGTGGGAGAGTCTTGCGCACTGTCTGACGGAGGTGGTGAGGCCGTGTGGGCCCCTGGGAGAGGTGAGACTGGGGAGGAGGCTCTCGTTCGAGTATGTGAGGGATAATGAGACTAGGATGAATCAGACCGGGTGGTTCGAGGGGAAGGAGTGTGTGGCGTTGGTGTCGAGCATGAGTATGCAGTTGAACTTGAAGGCGAGAAATGCCTTTCTATTTGACTGAGTGCTGGAGCTTGGTGAGTGGTGGAAAGCAGGGAAAAATATATATATAGCTAGCTGCTGGCCGTGGGAAGGGAAAAAAATGGTATAGTGATTTGATCGGGAAGCTGGTGTTGAGGGGGGAAATAATAATGTGTTTAGACGACCATCAACGTATATAGCAATTTAAATGTTACCCACGTTATTACGGGAAAGTACTGAACGAACTAATCAAACAAATCAAGAGTGAGCAGTAATTGTTTGACCGAGTGATATCTCATGAGCGACAAACGCCGCCATCAACCACAGGCTAGCCTAGCAACCAACCAGTCATTTGTAGCTAGTAGTAGACCATTTGCGCAGATAGAGCCGGCTCTCAATTCTACTCGTATGATTGGTTGATGGGAGGACCGGCGCCAATCAGGTTACCGGAATTTGGATCTTGAGTCTTTTGCGCAAAGGGCCTAGTCTTTACGACTCTGAATCTCTCTAGATAGCACTCTGCCTTTCCGGATCACGACTCATCAAAGCACAATAGACCACTCATCACCCCACCCATAAACCGAGTCACCCAGCACAAAGAACATGCATCACCAATAATTGTCACTGGATAAAAAAGACATATCAACCTAACTGAGTCACTTCGTTTCAGACCACCCGCCCATGAGCTTATAGCTTGCTGTCTAGATAAGCTTTTCCCTGACCACCAACCCCACCACACCCACTCACCCACCACACCGCCCCACCACCATCACACCGCCGACACGTCACACACCCGCCACCCGCCACCCACCACCCGCACGTCAAAGTTAACACAACCTTAACCCCACCTCACCCCACCACTACAGTAAGCCGGGCGGTCAGGCGGTCAGGCGGTCAGGCTAGGGCAAAAGCGGCACGAGTGAGGAACTGTGAAGCATGCATCTGAAGTAAAATTTATTTCAACGCTTACCACCGCCGCTCTCCCATAATGAAAATAACAAAAATGATAGAAAGAATGAAAAAAAATCTAAGTGTGCCATGAATGCAGAATAATAATAATAATAGTAAAAAGAAAAAAACCTATAACCAAAAATAAAAGCCAAAAACAATGAGCCTAACATGACCTCACCCAACATGACCTAGAAAACCAGATGAGATAAACCAAATGAGATAAACCAGATGAGATAAAACCAGATAAGATGAAGTAGATGTAATAGAGAAATGAGTAGCAGTCTGCTTTTTTACAGGGGGATGAGACTACCTTCGTTGTCGTACGTTGTTGCGGAGGTCTTCCCTTATGTCTCCGCCCCCTGTTGGCTGATTTTGTAATATGAGTGGAGGGGGGAGAAAGGAAAAGAAGGAGAAAGCACACCAAGAAGATAAAAGAGAACCTCGCCCCCAGATGTATACATAGAAAAAGCCTACAAACCCCCCTCCCGCACAGGAAAATAAAAAAGAAAGAAGAAGAAAAAAAACAGAAAAAAGCCTCCCGTCCCTTCCAAAAGTAAAAGAAAAGTAGATAATAATAATACGAAGCCGATGAACTAGAGATCCCAGAGCGGGGATACAAGAAAAAGTGGTAAGGTACACGTAGAGCAAAGACAGGAGATAAGCGATGAGAGTACATTGTAGAAAGTAGAGATAGATCGATGCCGATAGAGCTGCAAAACTAATATGGGTTCATAGGCAGACAGGTAGACGGACAGGACAGGACATATAGCAGCAACATCTATAAAGACAGTCCGATATGGCATACATATGGCATAAGGAGAAAGAGGTCTATAGCTAAAAGAGGGTATAAACATACATAAGAGTATGCCAGAAATAGATATAAGAACAACATGATTTCATGAAGAAACGGCAGCTTGCTAACTTGCTTGGTCAAAATATCAGGTATATATAGGAGAAAAGAAAATATGTCTCTCTGCAGGAGCCGCTCGAATCATGCTTGAAAGGAAATGAGAGGGGAAAGAATAGCTGGAAGACAGCCAAGCAAGACCAAACCAAACCAAACCAAACCCCTAGTCTATGACATGTATACCCACTATGACATGGTATAACCACAGCAAGATATACTCGCCCTCTCCCCAATCCACGGGTCTCAGGGGTTCCATAAATTCCTGTAGCAAATAGATGTGCCCTTATCCTGTATCTATGCCTCATACATCCCAACCGCACCAGAAAAAAAAGAAAAAAAGATAAAGAAAGGAGAAAAGGGTAACCTTATACTATCTCCTGCACCCTTGCGCCGTCCAGCTCAGAACCGGCGTCGCCAGGATCCGGCACCACCGCCAGCAGTCCCTCCAACTCATCGACCAAAGCGTCGTCTGCATCAAGGTCATCATTTTCCTCCCTGCAAGAAAGCCTATCCTCTCAGAAATCCAATTCATCGCGCTTTTTTTACTGTAAAAAAAAAAACAGAACCGCAAAAAAAAATCCAGTAATTAATAGTAGTATTACTTACCCCATTCTCCTCCTCTTTGGAGCCACCTCCTCAACTTCTTCGTCGATTTCTTCTCTAGCTCGGCTTGCTGTGCTCCCTGCCGGGGATGCTACAACCGTGCTTGGGTTTGTCCCAAGTACTTTCCCTACGCCAAGTCCACTATTGTCCCTGTTACCGGAAAGGACATTCAACGCGTCGGCATTCTCCGGGCCATTGGCACCAAAAGAAAAGAGAGCATTCAGGTCATCGACACCCTCAAGGCCCGATTGTCCATCACCGTCGACCGTGAATCCGTTTGCCATGCTCCCGTCACCATTGAGTCCCCAGTTCAGGAACTCATCGATGTTGCTGCCCCCGCTGTCGACGCCTCCGTTGCCATTCATGTGCCCAGCACCTCCGTTGGTTGCCGCGTCCGTGTCCGCAAACTTAGTCATCATGTCCATGAGTTCGTCGACATGGTGTGTCTGCGCGGTTTGAAGCTCCTCGAGCTCCTCAATCTCCCGGGCCTTTGCTGCGAGTTGCGCATTATGATCTTGCAGTGTCTGGGCCGACAACCCCGGCTGTGCCAAGGGGCGAGGAAAGAGGCGGGGGGTCATCGAGTGTGCCGACACAGGCGAAGATGCGGCTTGGTGGCCGATGGGTGAGTCGGGGAGGGAAAAGATGTTGGGGTACTGTGTTTGGTGGTTCTGGTACTGATCGGCATTGCCGCCCCCTCGTAAGGTCGGGGTGTCTTGGCCATTGAGCTCTTGTATGCTGGGGCTCTGGTAGGTTTGGTAATTCTGGATCACAGGGGACCCCATGTTGGCTTTCATCTGGGCGCCGCCGTTGGGCTTTGAGATAATGGGTGAGTTTTGGGGTTTGGGCGACTCTTCTTC